AAATAAAGTAAATATAGTGTCAAGCTCTCAGGATGTACAAAATGCCTCAGCAAGCAGGTGTGTTCTAAACTCTGAAAGAGAGGAGTCTGGCATGACATTCAAGGACAGATTATTGCACAACTGTGGAGCTGCTACAGCGAAGGGACAATCTCCTCTTTGCTTTCACTTGGATTTAGGGACAACAAGGAGCTGCTGGTTGGCAGACCTTAGGGATCAGGTAGGTACAGTGGAAAATAGATCTAGAAATAAGTTAAAATATCTTAAATTAAGTGTATTTACCCTTAATTTGAGTAGATAAATAAGATGATTGCCAATAGAATGAGTATATTTACTCTTAAAGCAATTGTTTTTTCTTAATTTAAACGTAGATTGTCTTGTTTCATTGAAAAGTGTCTCACTCACCTCCTCAATTCTAGAAAAAATGCACTTATTTTAAGAAAAAAAATGACTTATTGAGATTTCATTTTTTTGCAGAGTGCTGCATCTTATAAAGGTAAAAGCAAATAAGAGCAATTTAAAAAGGAACCTAAAACATACGGGCAACAAATGGTGGTATTTTAAGTTCGGAATAATGTGCTCAAACCTTTTTGATCTAGTTAAAAGTTGTGCTTGACGCTGCAAAAACAACATTTCTTAAATTAAGTGTATTTACCCTTAATTTGAGTAGATAAATAGGATAATCTGCCATTTGACATATTCTCAAAATAAGATCATTTGATAATATTCACTTGAAATAAGACCATGCATTTATTTTCTCTTATTTTAAATGTAAATTGTCTTGTTCCATAGGCAAAGTGACTCACTTACCTCCTTAATTAAAAAAAAATCACTAATTTTAAGAAAAAAAAGACTTATTTAGATTTAAATCTTTTACAATGCAGTATTTAGCACAATCTGCTTTTCTGTTAAGACTATTTTCATTTTAAAACTATCAGTATTTTATATGGATATTTTATTTATGTACATTTAATAAATACATTTAAAAAAATAAATTAAATGTACTAATCGTACTAAAGTATACAAATGTGTATAACAAATTACTTCACAATAGTTTGATATATTTTTACTGCTTATATATGTAGTTACGTGTGTTTACCTGCCACTCATAGTATGGCGGAAACTCTAAGAAGGCGGAGCCAATGGGATTGATAAGCACCATGATTGGTGTAGCTTTTATCCAATCATATTCTTCTATCTGTTTGAAAGGCCTCTGATTGGCTTATTCTCATAAGAACTCGTCTTAACGTCATGGTCTGCTGTATTTGGACGTGAGACGCACGTTTCGCATTTACAAGGTAAACAAAGTAATTCGTTTCTTATTTCCTAATTAAAATAACAGTAATGTCGCGCGTTAAAGTTTGAAGCTATAATCGTCGCTATTTCCACAGTTTAAATGTCAGCAAACTTTTATAAATGTCCTCTCAACGATGACGTGCAGTGTCGGTTTTGTAACTGTCCCCCAAATGTCAAGTGTGCCTTTTCAATGTTTTGGATGCTGGGCTGAAAAGATTGAAGGCAAATTCTGAAGAACTCTTAAGAATGATTGTATGACATGATTATTGTTGATCAGGGGTAACCTATTAAGAATCAGCAGGGTCTGAACAAAGAAAACCAACAACCAGTCATTTTTATTATGATCTGTTACTTTAAACAGAATTTAACACTGAAATAAAATGAGGTTTTTATGCATCCATGTTATACATTGAATTTATAAAAAAAATAAATACATTTTAAAATCTAAAGTGTTTTTTGAAGTAGAGAACAACAATTGTTCAGTTTGGTATATAGACAATTTCCTGATTCACATATTTTATAAAACACCTGAACTGACCATTTGTTATTGTTTTTTTTTTCTTTCTTTTTTTCTGGCTTAATGAGAGCAGTGGGCTTTATGCTGCCCTGCTAGTTTTATAAACCTGGGTTTGAATGGAGACAAAGCCATTCTAAAGCACATATCAAGGTTATTATTTTGAGCCTGGATCCATATTTATTTTTGATTATGTTTATGGTGGATAATCCTGCTTCACAGCAGCAGGTTGAGCCAGACATACTAAAAATGTGCCGGGTCATCTTTGAGCACAACATTTCACTTTTCTTTCTCCAGTTTACCGCAGTTCTTCCAGCAGTCCACACTTTCACTTTTTCTCATCATCTTCTCCTTCTCTCCCATCGCCCGGCTTGCCACAGGTTTCCCTGCTGTATCTAAAAGTTAAGTAATGTGTATCACGTGTAGCCTGGTCCCGGTCACTCTGGAGGGCTTTACCATATAAACAGGAGAAGCGGCGCAAGTGAAGTTAGACACTGCTGTTGGACAACATGCAGCAATTTATAAATGTTTCAAATCAGGTTGGGTCCGGACCCTGGTCTGCTAATCTGTGACCTCTGTTGTAGAGAAACCTTACGATAATGTCTGATTCCTTCACTGT